GTCTCACTCCTTCCTTTCTGGCCCTGGATCCTGTTAAGGGCTTCTGGTTGGCTGGGATCGCAAGCGCACACCACCGTCCCCTTCTTACGGGCTGAGACGCATACTGAGGACTTTCTTGCCCATGGTTGTCCTGAGTAGCTAGGATACAGGTGTGAGCCACCCCACTGGACTTGGACGTGTTTCATCAGCTTAATCTGGGGTGGTGGATAGACACAGCTTCTCTGTGCACACAACCAGTCTGTTGGAACTCCCTCCCCTGCTCCTCAGGACCCTGTCTCCTTGTGAGCTGACTAAAGCAGATTTTGAAAGGCTTCTGCCAAGAACAGGCAAAAATGCTTTGTACTGTTCATTACCTAGAAACTTGAAGTAGATCAAACGTCAAATCCCCTTCACCCTCTATGGATCTTGGTAGTCACAGTGCTACTGTATAATGCGAAAATTTCCAACTAAACTCAGGTCTATAAATAATCATGATTAAGGCTTCAAATATAGCAGTGCTTTCTTTTCAAGGGGGTTATTTCTGTATGATGATTGCCTGGCTGATGTACAATTTCAGAATACAAATGGCTTCTCTCATAACTACTGGGGAGCTCAGCAGGAAGCCGCACCTCGGGGTCTGTGTGTGGTAAGGGCCCCTTGGAGCCCGCAAGCAGAGCAGCGGAGGCGCGGGCAGCCCACCACCCTTGTTCTGGTGTCAGGAGACCCCTGAGTCTTGTCATAAGTGGTCAGGAGTCACGTTAGTCTGTCCTAAATTAGATACACTGTAGCACAAAGAATAAATGCCTACGGGTTGTTCTGGCCCTTGATTCATAACGAATTAGTGTTTAAGAATGATGTAAATAACTTTATAACCATGGCAACTGAAGCAGAACCTATGGCTTTTGTAAGATACTGACCAGAGGATTTATTAACATCCTCCCAAGAAAAGCGGGTGTGGCATCTCGGTAGCTCTGGCACAAACTCAACCACAAACTCGGCCTCAACCGGCCCGGGCCAGCTTTTACCCTCCCTCCCCCCAGGTTATATTCTGAAACAACAAAGAACAGAGGCTTGGGCCTTTTGAGTGGTGGTCCTCCTGTTAAACTCTCACCCTCTTACACTCAGGGCCTGGGCTCTATCCCTGAGCTTTTTTGCACAAGGCTAGTGCTCTGCCACTTGAGCCACAGTTCCACTAATTTTTTTTTTTTTTTTTTTTTGTTGGTTGGTTGGAGGTAAGAGACTCATGGGCCTTTCCTGCCTGGGTTGGCTTTGAACTGCAGTCCTCAGATCTCAGCCTCCCATGCCCTGCCTGTTAACCTCTTTTAAGAGAAGTCACCTAGCAAACAAAGTCTACTTCTTGGATTTTTTTGTGAAATGTTAATTTCCTCTTTTCAAGAGAGTTTTGTATTAAACCAGGAACCCTCAAGGAAAATCAGCTTCCTGTAAGATTCTGGAACCTGGTCCACAAGACAGGTGAGTGTGGGCCAGTGCAGACCCTGAGGTGCCGGGGGTGTTGGCTGTGGGAGGCCAGGCCCGACATAGCTGGGCGCTTGGGGGGGTGGGCATGCCCTCAGATTCGCCTTTGAAAGGAAATGGACTCCAGTTTGTTCTTTTGCCTTAATCTTCATCCATTATTTCTGACACCCTTCTACTGGTTGTCTTAAGTAATTCCTCCTTGTTTTGTTGTACTGGGGTTTTGAACTTGGCCTCGATTCTCAAGTGGTGCTCTACTACTTGAGCCATGACTCCAGCCCTGCTTTCTGCTGGTTATTATAGAGATGTTTTTGTGGGGGTTTCTGCCCTAGCTGGCCTTGAACTGAGATCTTCTAATCTCAGCCTCCTGAGTGGTTAGGGTTGTAGGTGTGAGCAGAAATACAGTTTATAAGGAAAAGAGACAACAGAGACAATGAAACAAACTGTTACTCCATGGTAGGAAAGTAGAAGAAAGCTTGAAGCCTAAAATCCCTAAAACCCAAATGCTTGCTGACCTTTTCTTAGGAGGCTCGGGAAGGCCTGTCACGCACTGGCCAAACTTTTACTAATTTGCACCATCAGGACGTTGCTAATAATGCCGCATGACATTCGAGAGATTAGACAGCAGTGTGACATTTTGTACAGGCTATTCTGTCATTCCCTTTCCCGCCTCTAGCTACAGGAAATACGCATTTGGGTCTTAACTCTCTAAGTTTCTTGTTGATATAAAGGTATTGGTTCCCAGTCTGTTCTGAGGAGATATAGAATGTATCGTATAAAAAATAACTTTTTTTTAATGTTTTAAAGTTTGAGAAATGTTAGCTTAAACCGAGTTAAAAATGATTCTTTCCAATAGGACTTTTCAGAATCTGTGATTATTGCTAATAATAATCTTGTTTCTCAAATTTATTTTGACCACAGATGTTTTCCCGTGTTTTAGTAGTGTTTTCCGTACTGGATTGTGAGGAGAATGGGGCCAAGGCTGGGCACTTGGTGGCTCATGCCTGTAACCTGAGCTACCTGAGACACATACAGAAGGACTGGAGCACCAGCCAAGGCAAAAGGAAATCCTGGGATCACATCTCATCGGAACAGGGTAGGTGTGGTGATGCATCCCCATCTCCTCCCAACTCCTCCCCGTAAAACGCCGAGGTCAGGCAGCCACGGCCTGAGCCGCAGCCTGCAGCTGAACGGAGCCTGGACTCTGGTCTCAGCCTATCACAAGCCTGGGTACTGGCTGAGTGGGTGTTTGTCCCGGAAGGACACTAGCTCCCAAAGCTTCTACTACCCCATTGCTGCAAAAGAGCAGCAATGGGAAAAGAAAAACAGTCTTTCAACCTCCATGTCCATGCTTGGCTCCATTACTCCAAAACATCAGCGAGAGTGACAGCATGGTAATTACAAAGATAACCAAATGTTTTTCCACAGGAAGAGGAACTGCTTATCTTTAACTGTTGCCGCGCGCACAAGAAGGGTGGTGTTTAAAAGGAGACTGGTGTACCATTTTAAGAGAAAATGGCGTATTTGAGGCAAAAGCTAAGTGAGTGAACAACACAGGTTACATGAGGTAGGAAGGGTGTAGGGTATGAGGTGGAACAGAAGGGCCCGGCAATGAGGAGGTGGGGACACCAGGAGTGACAAGGCCAGCAGGGCAGTGGTGACCAGCACAGGACGTCAGGGGCCCCAGGCGTTGGGAGCACGGTGGGACCTAGGACTCTGCCGGCCACATGGCTCTGCTAGCTGAAGCCTGGGAACAGTGACGAGAGCAGCTGGCGTTCAGTCAGCACTAGGCCGCCAGGTTTTCATCAGCATTCCACCATGAAACCAGTCCATCCCAGGACAGCTCTCCTGGTGTAAGAGGTGAGAGGAACATGGGTAAAGCCTGTTTCATGTGTGCCTATTGGAAGAGAACGAGAAAACGCCCTCTCATCCTTAACGCACTTTGTCTTCTCAACTCGGCAAGTCAACTTCACAGTCCTGGAAATGTTTAGATCTCACTCATTTGCCCACATCAATGAGGTACTTATTCTTAGCTGCTGGGAATAAACTCTTACGACTCAGCACTCTGCAGGAAAGAAATCTCAGCGCTTGCATGGCTCCATTTTATGCTCATTTTCTTGGTGTACTTTTAAAAATAGACTCCCAAATCATGACATATTCAAGAAAAACAGGATGGAGAGCAGCAGGAACACTAGTCTGAAAGACTTCCATACCTATTGGTACTGAGCCCAGATTAAACAGAAAGTTCCTGAATTTGAGACGCTATCATTTATGACCTAAATCAACTGACTTTGGACTGCGGCCCCCTATTCTGCCAATTAAGTGTGAAGGAGACAACTCAATTTGGTTTCTTTTGAAAAAAGGGGGAAAAAAACTTCAAATTCCTTTAAAAAAATTCTGTGCCACATTTTCACAGCAATTCCCTGGCCTCCAGCCCAGTGAAATCCACCATCTTTTAATACCTTTGGCCAAGGATTTGCATCTCTATCTAAATTTGCTTTTCAGTTTGGTAGAAAAGTCTAGAATGAAGTAGTGCGGCCAGTGATGGGCAGCTGTGAAATGGTTCACTTGAGAAAACTGCCGGCCTCACTGTGCACTTGTTTTGGTTGCAGGTATCATAATGTGTATCTGCAGTGGGCAGAGGAAAACCCATCTTTCCCAAGGACAGTGGTCATGCAGCAACGCTTCACTCCCTCCTGCTCAGCCTGATGACATACATCCACAAATTACAATAATGTGAGTGCCGTTTCCCCGTACACATGCCCACACCTGCTTTCCCATGTTTGTGACAGACTGCCGGGCTGGATCTTTACCCTGGTACCAAGCACCTGCATTCCCAACAGCTCTGGGCCTACGCGTCCAGAGTCAGAGCTGGCGGACCAGAGGATCGCGCAGGCCTCCCCCGCCACGTCTAGCCAGCTGTTACTGTGCTGGCACCATGCTCCCAGGGTCCTGAGGTCATTCACTGTTCTACCCTACCCCAGTGGCTGCGTTCAGATGCGGGACAGTGCTGCTCAGAGCAGTGTGCTCAGGAAGCACTTGAATGAGGACTTGGTTCCAACGGGTTTAGATTGGTCCACACCACTCTTGCTGCTGTTTGCTAACTACATACACCTCCACTGCTGAGTCCTGTACTTCTACCTGCTCTATCTGAAACGTCTTTGACCTGAGATCTCCACGTAGGTGGTGATGCACCAACAAAACTAAATCGACAGACTCAGGGGCTCTGCCCACAGGAGTCACGTCCAAATGCACTTACTGCCTGTAGCAATCTGCTGAATGACAAACCTGCTCCTGTACCTGATTCTACCTTGGTGAGGAGAAACTGCCCTATTTTCTGGCCTTGTTTCATAGGTGTGAGCTGAGCTGTTCGAATGCAGACACAGTCGGACTCTGGCAGACCAGCGGGACCTGTGGTGACTGCGCCATGCTCATCTCAGAGAATACAATTTGTTACCTCGGACACCTGCGCCAGGCTGTTCATGGCTAACTCCAGTGGCTTCTGTCTTTTCTAGAAGAGTTCACCAAAACTGTGAGTCTGATTTTATTCTATAGAAAATCATTTTAATGTGTGATTATAGAAAATTCAGTGAACAAATATCAAAGGAATAGGTTATTTGCTCTTGTAACTGAACAAATGAAATCCGAGTTGTTGATATACATATATACAAGACAGGGAGTGATCAGGTCACAGAAATAAGGACTGAACAGGTGTGCCACGATAGCTGTGCAGCATAAAATTCAAGAAGTGCTTAGTCCTTGGACGCCCCCTCCTCAGAAGGGTTAACTGGGGGGTCCAGTTGGGGCTCGGCGGGACTCTGGGAGGGGCCTCCTGCCACAGGAGCAGAGCCGGCTTCTGCCTGACAAGGGGGCTCCTCGGGCTGAGGGGCCAGGGTCTCCTTGCTGGAGCTGGCATCTGTTGGGCTGGGGATGATGTCACCTTGAGCAGCCAAGGCCTCTTCCTCAGTTTCCAACTCCACGTCTGGGGTCTGAACCTCCTCAGCTTCTTCTACCATGGCAGGTGGCAGTTGTAAGAAGGTCTAATAAAAAAGACAAACCCAGGCTAGACGGTGCTCTACTACTTGAACTATGCCTCCAGCTCTCTTTTTACTCTGGTTATTTTTGAGATAACCTGGACTGTAATCCTGTCTGAAAAAAAACCAAAGCAGGGTGCCGGTGGCTCACACCTGTTATCCTAGCTACTCAGGAGGCTGAGATCTGAGGATCATGGTTCAAAGCCAGCCTGGGCAGCTAAGGCCATGAGACTCTTATCTCTAAGTAACCACCAGAAAATTGGAAGTGGCGCCATGGCTCAAATGGTAGAGCACTCACCTTGAGCTGAAGAGCTGAGGGACAGCGCCCAAGCCCAGAGTTCAAGCCCACGACAACAAAAAAGAAAAAAATGAAAACCCAAATCCCATTACTAGGATGAAATACTTGTAAGACAATAAACAACTCATATATATTTACAGGTTTAAGACATCAAATACAAGCCGGGTGCCAGTGGCTCACTCTTGTAATCTTAGCTACTCAGCAGGCTGAGATTTGAGGATCGTGGTTCACAGCCAGCCCAGGCAGGAAAGTCTGTGAGACTCTTCAATAACCACCAGAAAAACTAGAAGTGGTGCTCATGTGGCTGAAGTGGTAGAGTGCTCTTGAGCTGAGGGACGGTGTCCAGGCCCAGAGTTTAAGTCCCATGACCAACAACAACAAAACTCAAATTTGGCTCTAAGCATCTGCTGCTCCCCATGGAAAACAGGTGGCCTCAAGAGTGCACGTGAGCAAGCTTACCTGTTGGTAGTGATGTGTGGTCTGTATCAAATGCATGTACATGTTGTACACAAAGTTTGCCATCTGAGGCATGTTCTTTATGATCTGTACTTCATGAGGTGGCCTCTCTCCATTCTAGAAGGAAGACAGAGGAAGCAACTGCTAGTGAGAAAACCTAGATGCAAACTTTTCCACAGAACCCCATCCTAGAGTGAGACTGGCTGCCAACCCCACGGGGGATGGGCGATCCTGTCTAAAGTCACAGAAGCCACTGGCTCTGCCTGCGTACAGCCAGGGAGCGCTGTCTACAGGGACAGAACTTCAACATGGTCTAAAGCAGCAGATTCTAATTGTGAGCATACTCTGGAGAGGCAGTACTGAAGCACTTTCCGAGGCCCACCTTCCTGGCTGTTGGGAACGGCTCTGTAGGAATGATGTGCAGATGGAGCGGGCGGGCGGTGAGCTGGGTGAAAGCTGGGGTCAGTTCGAAGCAGTTCTGGAAGAGGGAGACTCTGGCGAAGATGTAGAGCCCGAGTCGGGCTCTGGACATGGCCACCACTAAGCGACGGACATCCCTTCAGGAGCAAAAACAACCCACTTTCAGTTCCGTTACAGATCCAACTAAGTATTCTTATTAAATTACAGCAACCAAGAACTAAGCTGCTTGAGCCAGACGCTGGTGGCTCACGCCTCTAATCCTAGCTACTCAGGAGGCTGAGATCTGAGGATTTCCATTCCAAGCCAGTCTGGGCAGGACAGTCAGGTAGACCCTTAGCTCCAATAAACTACTCAGAAAAGGCTAGAACTGTGGCTCATGAGCCAAAGTAGCTCAGGCCCGGCATCTAGGCAGAGTTCAGGCCCCAGGACAGGCACAAACAAGAAAACTTAAACTTCTTGAACTTAGTCACTTATCACTAGTTTTTGGGGTGACTTAGTCATTTATCACTAGTTTTTTGGGGTGAGGAAAGAAATCACAAACAGACTGACAAAAATCCAAGTAACCCTATGTATGTATTCTTGCAGTTCTAGCCACTGAGACGGTGGGCAGCCCCTTCCTCCTCTACTGGCTCCCGTTCCTTCAGTGCCAAATGCTGCTGTACGGTTCCGTTCAAGGGAAGCAGCCAGAAAAGGTGAATGCAATGTGAGGAGTGATCACTGGTAAGTACACAGCTTCTTGCTTAAGCAACAAAAACATGATTCAACAGATGATATTTTTTGGGGATCATGGGGCCTGAACTCTGGGCCTGGGCGCTGTCCTTCAGCTCAAGGCTAGCGCTCTACCTCTTGAGCCACCGCGCTACTTGCAGGTCTCACAGCCTGGCTGTGAACCGCAATCCTCATATCTCAGCCTCCTGAGTAGCTAGCATTAAAGGCGTGAGCCACTGGCGCCTGGCGATTACATAATTCCTTAACTCACAAACCCCACTGCAACGAGGACATAAGAAAGGTGAATTGTGAAGGTCTACACAGTATAATCTCAGCAAAGCTCTTATTCAACACATACAACACAATGTAGTCTCTCTTGATTACAATAAACACAATGTTTTCCTGCTTGCAAAAGGCAAGATTCAGTCTATGTGGTGAGATTCTAGTTTGCGCACCTAGACCGAAGGCACTGGGAGACCAGAAGTATGACAGGCACACCCCCTGCCAGAATCTGCACTTCTTCGAAAAGAAAATTTTGGCAAATAGGTAAGATCAAGTTATTTGAATAAGGTGTTCTTAAGAATATTTAGATATGTTAGCTGGGTGCTGGTGGTTCACACCTGTAATCCTGGTTACCTCAGGAAGCTAAAACCTGAGGATCATAGTTCAAAGCCAGACCAGGTGGGAAAGTCTGTGAGACTCTTACTTACCACCAGAAAATTGGAAGTGGCACTGTGGCTCAAGTGGCAGAGTGCTTGTCTTGAGCTGAAGGACAGCGCCCAGGCCCTGAGTTCAAGCCCCATGACTGTCCCCCCCCAAAAAAAATGTTTTTTGGAGATGCAACGTTATTGAAATAGGGGTCTAGAATTTGAGAAAGGCAAGTATTAGGAAGCACAGTGAGTTTTTAATTACCATAGCTATTATGAAACTAATGCACATGCTTGACAATATACAAGAAGGAAGCTACGTATTAGAACGCAACTGCTGAAAACATGGCTTCAAGAGTAGTTTCCTCTTCCATACAGCTAATCTCCATACAGCTAATCTTCCTGACAAGAGGTTGATCTGATCACTACTGCAAACTCCACACAGACCTTAATCAGTGTTAGGGGAGAGACTAGTTAAAGTTAAACAACAAACTGGAAATGCAGGACGAAGATAAATGAAATTAAATGGCTCCTTTGTAATATGAGAATGTCATCCCTGTCAAGTCTCCAACACATAAATATATCACAGTAAGGGATTAAAATAGATTGTTTTTACAGTTCTTAAAAAAACAAAGGCTGCCTTTATCTCTGAACACTGAAGCTAAAGGACCTTGTGTGAGAGCAATTCGAAACCCTGTACCATGAAAAATCTACTCCAAGGAGACTTTTACCAGTCATCTCTAATTTCTGATGAGATCCTAGCAGACACAGGGTAGATTCGTTATGATTGATGACAAAACACTGTCTGAATGTAAATGAAGAAACAGTGACAGTGGCACTGATGAACTAACCACACAGGAATCTGAAGTCCAGTTCAGTAAAATCCTGAGAGCTTTTTCTACTCACCTTAGATGGCCCACCGCCCTGGTCCGCACTAAAGACAGTAGGATGTAGTCATTCTGTTGGCCTTGAAATCTATCCACAGTTGTCACCTACGGGAAATGAAGGGTTATTGTCTGTCTTTTTTTTTTTTTGTCGATCATGGGGAGTGAACTCTGGACTTGGGCACTGTCCCTCAGCCACAGTGCCACTTCTGGCTTTTTTCTGCTTATATAGTGCTGAGGAATGGAACCCAGGGCCTCATGCATGCAAGGCAAGCACTCTACCACTGAGCCACCTTCCAGTCCCTGTAGTGTTATTTTCTTTCCTTTTTTTTTTGGGTCCGGTTGTGGGGCTTGAACTCTGGGCCTGGGTGCTGTCCCTCAGCTCAAGGCTAGCACACTACCACTTGAGCCACAGCACCACTTCTGGCTTTTTTCTTTTTGCTTATGTGGTGCTGAGGAATTGAACCCAGAGCTTCATGCATGCAAGGCAAGCGCTCTACCACTGAGCCACCTTCCCAGCCCTTGTAGTGTTATTTTCAAAAGCACAACAGACTGTAGAATGCTATACAATCACACATTTAGGTAGACATTCAGCACCTGTCTTAACCTTCACTTTTGCTAATGTGCAGAGTGCCAGTGTTCACGAAGGCAAGGATGATTACTTCATAGATAACTGGCCTGTCAGTTTAACACGTAGGAAAGTAGCTTGTTGTTTACCATACATATATTCCCAGTATCTCACAGCAACTGTCTGCTCTTTCTTCATGCCTTGTTTTTGTTACTCAACTTTTTATACCTCAAGTTCCATCTCATCCAGAATTCTTCCATTTTTCTGGCTACATTATTTTCCAAGGTTACAGCAAATTGTAAATTTTAATAGTTGTAAATTATTATTGGAAGTGAAGCTGTGGCTGAAATGGTAGAATGCTAGCCTTAAGCAAAAACTCAGTCCCTGAGTTCAAGCTCCAGGACTGGCAAAACAAAAAACTCAACTCTCCCTTCTAAAAAGTAAAAATTATATCCTTGGGAGAAAAAAACTTACCTAGTTCATATTTCTAAATTACAATAAACATTTTAGAGACATGGGCTTCTACTTATTAGTACTAAAAACATTCAGAGCTGTCACAGAATTGTAAGTTTCCCCCCTTACTTCATTTTCCCCCTTGCTTGAGAGCACAGTGGAGACAAGGCCACGCAGCGAAGGACAGCACGCAGACTCCTCGCAACGTTCCCTTCTCAGAGTGACTCACCTTATTTGGCCTCCCGATGAGCGGGTTATTCCCACACCGCCTGTTGATGATGTCGCGGATAAGGTGCTTCTGCCCGTTGTACGTTGTTAGAATACTGATTCTGTCTGCCGGGTAGCCGAGCAAGCACATGTACATGAACAGCGCAACCACGTACTCTGCCTCCCCGAGGTTCTGGAACACAAGCAGAGCCACACTGGGTAAGCTTTTGTTTCTACTTTATAGAAATGGCCTGTGTGGTACAACCTGGGTGCTGCTGAGCATACTTAAAGAAGCCGAAAGTTAACTTGGACTCAAGCACACTGGCATGAAAAGGGCAATCCTGTTCTAGGCGAATCCACTGGCACTTAGGGCTGATATGGATGTGGGAACACCACATGGGACCACCACAGGAAGACCAGCGACACCTCACGCACTACAACTGCACTTCCACCCGGAAAGTCACATCCAAGAAGCCAGTACAAACCCCAGTCTAAGACCTACTCTAGCAGTGCCCAGCCTCAGCTTATCTAGAAGATTGCTTCCTATGAGGCAGGGTCTGGCTCACCGCTGAAGATGAACCTACAGCTCAGTTGAGGCAACAACGTCAAGTGAGAACATCAACAGATTAAGATGATTTCAGGTGAAGGCAATAGGAAAATGTGCTATTTCCGCAGGTGTTGGTGACACAGTTCTTTGCAAGACAGGAAAAACAAAAAATTGTGAATCATGGAATGACCATAAAAAGCTGGAGGTGAAATCCAGTCTCTACGATTTGGTATTTTTGGAAAGATTAATGCAATGAGGTCTCGAATCATTTCTATATCATTCTCTGTATGAGCCATCAAGTAGCGACAAGGAAACAATGAAAATTCTACCCCATGCACCTTGCGTACCTCTTAAAACGCACCACGTGAGTAAGTGCACTCTTAGCTTTGGGTCATAATGTTTCCAATTCTCTCTACCCATGCGGCTTACTTGTAGGACTGGGTAGCCAGTGTTGGTCTACATGTCTAGTACAGCAGTGTGGGACTTTTGTCGAGCCAGTGGCCATGTGGATGTCTAAATGTTTGCAGGCCATACAAAATTGTCACTGCAGGAAGACTGCCCACAACAAACCTTCCCAAGCACCTAAGACTGTAGGGACTTACGCAGCCTGAGGATCAGATGCGCCCCACGCCTCGCTTTAGTGTATCTTTTAGTTCATAGCTTTTTCCTAGTTGCAGTAAGTACTCAAAGGGTTTGGCACTGCTGAGAGTCAGGCAACTTTCAAGTCCTGCAAATGCAAAACTAAACCTCAAAGCCACAAGCCTTTCCTCACCTGGTAAAAGTACGGATTCGGTTCCGACTCTCCCACTCCCTGGAAATCCTCCACGTTGATGAGCTGGAAGTCATAGAGCAAGCCAGCGTTTGCGGTACTGAACTCCGGCAAGAGCTGCACGTGGGGTAAGTTCCCTAGGTTCTTGTATCGCCAGTTGTACAGGTTGCACAGGCTGTCCAAAGACAAACAGCCCCGAGGGGCGTCAGGCGCCCACATGACACCCTCCCTCCCGGGCAGGGGCCTCCTCTAGCTGACACCACATCGTGCAGCAGTGCCTGACTTCTCCAAGGATCAGGAGACTGAAGAGACTGCACAGACGTCAGCTCTGCTGTGCTTACAGCTTATTGATAGGCCAGCAAGTTAAGAAATCTGAGAATGGCCAGGTGCCGGTGCCACATGCCTCTCACACTGGTTAGCTACATGGAGGCTGAGATCTGAAGATCATGGCCCAAAGCCAGCTTCAACAGCAAACAGTAAAAATGCTGGCGATGGAGCTGGCGCAAGTGGTAGATTGTAGCTCTAGCCTTGAGTGAAAGAAGCTGAGGGTCAGTGCCCAGGCCTTGAAGCCTGAGGACACACGCCTGTGTGCACAGACACACACTGGGGCTACACTGTGTGTAGGGAGGTCAGGGCACTGGTGTACCCTCTTTTGGCTTTAGGTTTTAAATGTTTACTAATTGGGAGGTAAAGATTGGAGGATCATGTTTGTGGCCAGTCTAGGGAAGAAGTTAGTGAGACTAAGCCTGGACATGGTCAGTGGTGACTCCAGCGGTTGAGGAACCACAGATGGACGTCTGAGCTGGCCGGGGGCAACGCCTGGACCCTATCTGAAAAAGATGAATAACTCCAGCTCTTCCTTAGCAAACACCAGTCTCCTAAGTGCTAACAATTTACTGTCCCTGGGCCTTAGGGAAACTTAGCTAAGCCCTACATAACTCCTGGATGGCAGAGGTGCGCTTTGGCTCCTTACCTGGCCCTGGCTCTCCCTTGCGCATCGAGGTCCACAGTAGGAACCCCGACCCGCACAAAGCGGGTGAAGAGGGACTGCTCCATGTTGGAGTACTTCTGAAAGGCCATGTTCTTGATGACTGGGGGCAGCTGGTGGTGGTCACCAATCATGATCCATCGTTTCAGTCGACTAAAGCCATCCTGCGGGTTCTGGAAATGAAAAATGAGGACGTGGCAAAATATTCCAGTTTGTACAGCACAGTAGTTTCATGTTCTTTGCCTAATGGTGTCATTAGCTTATAAACCTGGACCTCTAGCCTCACTGCGCACAGGCATGTTTGTGGGGCCTGGGCATGGCTGGCAGCAGGCAGGGAGAGCCCCTTTAACACGTGTCCTCCAAGAACACAGAAACACCCAAAGATGAGTCTGAACCTTCCTTAATTCCCATGCTTCCTTGAAACAGGCTCCCTACCGGAGAAAATACATACAGTCCAAAGAGCTCTGTCAGAGCGCAGAGCAGTCTATCCTTCTTACACTGGAAATTCTGTATTTCGTTTTCAGTGCTTCAACAGTAAATAATACTGGATAGCCAAGAAACAGTACTACATCACTATTGGATCAGTAATTTAGGCATAAAGTAAAAAAATGCACTGAAAACTAGAAATACCAGGAGCTGTAATGAAAGAGTACCTACCAAACTGCATAGTAATGTAATTTTCTTGATTAAAATTATTGCCTTTTCAAAACTACTTTGTAGATGCATTCCCCAAAGCTACAACTAATAACTCAGGAACAGACTAAAAGAAGGTTCAAGAAAATGTCAACTACCCCCCAAACTGCAGCCGCTGAGATCCTCGAGACTTGCACAGCTGTCTAGATTCTTTGCATCTTACCTGCAGAAGAAGTGGTATAAACGTTTCTATTTCCAGAATCTGAGCGGCCTCTTCCATTAAAATGTTGTCATACTGAAAGACATGCCAACAATCTGAGATTAAAACGTTATTCAGAAGGGAAGCTCACAGCCTCATGGATGCTGCTGTCCCTGCATCTCCAGTCACACCTCTGTGCCCACAGTGAGAACGTGGGCATCGTTCCTCGTAGCCTCTGCACTGTCCATAAACAGCAGCTTTGTAATGACAAAGCCTTACCCCAGATGACTGCACTCATCACACACAATCTACTTGTGTGGCTCCATGCTACCCCTGAGGTAGGCCGTCACCTTCACAACTTGTGGTCCGCTCAGAGCTGCCACGGTGACTGCTACTGTCACTATGACTACTACTGGCCATTTCCACCTCAGCCCTCTGCCTGCCCAGCGCATGTTGCCTCACACCGGCGGGGAGACCCCTTCATATGGCCAACTGAAGGCACTGGGGACTACCTAGTTTAGGTTGAGTTTGTCCAAAAGGCTTTTAAACTCCGTTTGAAAACAAAATAGCAAAAACTAAAAAAAAAAAAAATCTCATGCTTTACTTTTTTAACATAGAAAACGTCTACTGAAAATGTGATGGGAAACATTTTTCAAATTCATATGGTTAGTAACTTGATATACTTTGGTTTGATATCAAGTCAGTATTTTATGTAAAAAACTTGCAATAGTTACGGTAAGTTCACACTACCTTTAAAAGAATTCTGTCACCTGGAACTTGGCACTGTTGGTGAGCTCAAATACGTTAAATTGTTCTTTCAAGCTAGGCACTGCTGGCTCACACCTGTAATCCTAATTACTCAGGAGGCTGAGATCTGAGGATTGTGATTTGAAGCCAGCTCAGGCAGAAAAGTCTCCATGAAACTCTTATCTGCAGTTAACCACTCAAAAACTGGAAGTGGCACTATGGCTCAAGGGGTAGAGCACTAGCCTTGAACACACAGAAGCTCAGGAACAGCACCCAGATTCTGAGTTCAAGCCCCACAACAACAAAAAAGTGTCAATTCAGGAAACACACTGCTAACTTCGCATGCAAAGCCCGTTTTAAACAAGATAAGCTATGTGTAGGAAAATGATGCGTAGTAAAATCAGAGTTTAGGTTAGCATCCCTAGTCAAGTCATAGGTTCTCAACAAATTCAACTTTACTGCTCAGTCATGACATCCCACTAAACCAGGTCACAGGCTACCACCTTGTCATCTTGTGTGTCATGCGATCGAGACACTTTAACATCTCATCTTGAAGTCTAAATAGTAAGAGCATTTCCTACGCTGAAGCTAAAGGCTTTTATGTTTGGAACAAATGAGTAGCTAGGACTTTAATATGTGGACAGTGTGAGCATCTATGATGCCTCTGGTGAAACCACCCTGAGAGACTTGGGTAGCGTTAGTGCTCTTCAGCAACCTTCCACAAGCAATGCTTAGTGAAAGTACCGTAAGTATGGGATTCTAGGTAGAAGCCTGGGACTACGCATTAGTACTAACACGCACTGATAATTAGATTCAAGTCCATTTGCTATTCATACAAATGTGTTACTTGACAATATCTCTTGAAAATGGATGACAGTGAGTACGAGAACTTCCATACACAGAAAATGGTGTAAGTAGTGAAAGACGAGCGGCCAGACAACGAATGGATGAAGGTCTTACCTTGAAGCCTAGCTTGACCAGGTCGTGTCGTTTTAAGGCAGCGTGCGTGCAGGTCATAGCAATGATTTTTGCTTCCTTCACCAGAAGGTACTTGGATCTGTCCAGGCCACTGCGAAGCAGTTCGGAGGCTCTGAACTCCTGTGGGAGAGGGGGCATCGACATGGGCCTTCAGTGCAACAAACCCAGTAATGCATACAACAGGTCAAACTTTAAGCCAGTGTAAAAGAAAAACAAATACCCCTGAACGCTTACCTCAAGCTGCGTGAAGATCTTCTTAATATGCCTGAAGCATCCCTCAGCAATCTCCATGTCTTCCTCGTAAGATCTGCCTTTAAAGATAGGCTGAGGTGCGTTGGCAAAGTACTCGTGGAAAGGGAAGCAAGCGGCCACCTCGGCCACCTCGGGCAGCGCGCCCCCTTTGCTCTTCACTCTGCTCATGTACTCCTCCCAGCGAGACATCACCTGCGGGATGGACCTGAGCTTACTCGCTGACACTATGGCTACGTCACTGCAGCCTTCCACTGACTCATCGAGCAAAGGTTGCTTACAAATACAGCTCAGAGACAATACAAGCACTTCCACATTCATAATAGCTTTGGCAATACCACAGGTTTTCATCTTACTCCCCCTCCACCCATCCCCACAAGAAGCGCCCGAAGAATCTCAAGAACCCATCTGGTTTCCAATGGGCCTCCATTACAAGGACGTATGATGCGTTACCTGATACAAGAAGAAATACCCCGCGGTCTCACAGGTGTACGAAGCATCTCCAGGAACCCCCAGGCTCTTCTGCAATCGCTTAACTTCTTCCAAAAGTTCTATTCTTCGAGCCAGGACATAATTTACTCTCCCATACCTAGAAGTAATTAGATAAAAAGACAAAACGGAAATTACAAATGGCCAAACCATGTTACTGACCCAGCACTTGCTTGTCCACAAATACATTATCAGTCTCTTTAGTTCTATAACAAAACTTGCACCCGCAGGACACAGTGTGTGCTGGTGCTCGCCCAAGAACAGTTTCCAGCCAGGTGTCAAGGCTCTGAGCAGAGCTCCTCTGCCATCCCGGTATCTATGTCTTCTGCAACTGGGTGCCCAAACCTGGCAGGCTGTGCACTTGCTGAATGCGTAAGAAAACACCCACAGACACAGGAAAGAAACTGGTGTTAGCAGTACCTAAAATAAGGCTTTTTCAAATGAGAAGAATAGAAACACTAACTTCTTTCTATTATCAATAGTTTAAAATATTTTCTGCAATGAGGAATTTTTATCAATGGGAAGGAAAGGAAGAATGCTTGTAAGACATGTAATAAAACGCCCGACTCTTGTGATACAACAGCTAGACTATGAGAGGTTTTCTGTGTAACTATGAGTGGTCTACCTAGTCTACTGTTTCACAAGGGAAAGCGGTATTACTTTTTGTGTGTTTGCTAGTCCTGGGGCTTGAACTCTGGGCCTGGGCACTGTTCACAAACTTTTTTCTTGAAGCTTAGCACTTTGCCACTTGAGCCATAGCTCCACTTGCAGCTTTGTAATGGTTAACTGGGGTAAGTGTCTCACACATTTTCCTTCCCTGGCTGGCTTTAAACCATGATCTTCAGCTCTTACCATCCTCAGTAAATATCCATTGGCACTATATTCCCTTTTAATGATGGCAAAGAGACACCCAGAATAATGAAATGAATAAGCATATATATTAGCAAGATAAAAGGCATAGACAAAGATGTTTTGGCCTATGAAAGCATTTTAAAAATTGTTTTATAATGTACTACTGTAAAAACTTCTGCTGTAAGTACATATTAAGCATTACATCTGCACCTTTATTTTCACTTAGGTATATGATTTTCTAATCACAAAGAAGAACTTCCTAAGGTAGTTTTAACACAAGGAAACACTTAGGGGACAGTGCACAAGTATCTCTGGCTGACTCCACACTAAAAATCTTGAGCCCCAGTAACCCAGTATGTTTTCTCTGCACTGCCCAGAAATTTAATCTTCTTCTGATGTCTATGACCAGTGTACTCAAAGGTCATGTTTAATCCTAAACCTATTAATGATGCTTATTGTTTGAAGCTGCTGCAAAATGAATTTAAATACAATGAATTTAAAAGCTGCCGTAAGGCAACTTTGAGAAAACGAAATATTTAATGGCAGAAGAAATCTGGTTTGTAAAATGTTAGTCCACTTACACTTACACTATCAGAAAACCATTAATTTGCTTTTCACTAAAACCACCTCTTATTTTTGCCCTGAAACATATGAAGACTAAGTCTCTCTCTGCATGAGCAGTGACAAAGCATCGTCTGAAGTTGTTCAGTGCTGAACTGTGCTGAGCGTCTTGAGTCAGCAGCAGAGCCTGTGAACAGAGACCCAGCCCAGCCATACTTCCAGGGCCACACAGCCAGAATAGGCTGTGCCAGAGCCATGTAGAGTTACGCTGGTTTTTCTCAGCTCTTCAAAGACAGCTGAACACACTTTTCACACAACTGCTCACCTGCTGAAGTCCTTCTCTGTCTCCAGCTCTTCTTCTCCATGACCAAGACGCAGCAGGTGGCGCTCGTCAATGTCCAAAGCCATAATTTTCTCAAACAACTGGTTTAGGGCCTGAGAATAAAACAAAAAAAGACAATGGTGAGTTCCAAAGTCTGTTTAAGAATAACAAAGACACATACTTGGAAGCAGTACTGCCCATAGGTGATCATCAACACAGAAACGGAAGGGAAAGAATTGCGCATATTAAGGTATCTATCATCTAAACAAAACTGCTTTTATGGACTTCGGATATTGCCATCTATGTATATACACCTGTCGAAGTAAGTAACTGGAAGTTATAAAGCCCAGCTACCCACAGACCTCTGCTTCTAATTTATCTTTGTCGGTCTTGGGGCTTGAACTCTGGGCCTGGGAATTGTCCCTGTGCTCTTAAGCTCAAGGAGCGCTCTACAGCTTGAGCCACAGCACCACTTCCGGTTTTCTAGTGGTTTAATAGGGGGTTAAGAGTCTCAAGGACTTTCTTGCCCGGGCTGGCTTTGAACTGTGATCCTCAGGTCTCAGCCTCCAGAGCAGCTAGGATTATAGGTGTGAGCCACTGGCACCGGCTGCTTCTAATTTATGAACGGAGAAAAAGCCCTGGCTACAGGTACTTTCTTCCAAGTCACAACAATTCTTAGATCCTGAGTCTCATCCTACAGCAACTTTGTCTTACACACACTGTTACGCAGGTGCAGAAAACTGAAAAAGGCTTTCCAGTGGCAAAAGCACAGAGAGGAGGCAGCTACAGCAGCCGCGCACACTATCACAGCTCCCCACCTGGTTGGAGTGAGTGACAATCAGAGTCCTCTGCTCGGGGAAGTTGTGGTAGATGTTGGAGATGATCTGGACGGCCACGTCTGTTTTTCCTGTGCCAGGTGGGCCTACAACCTGAAAGCATGATGAACAAATCAAACACTGTTGCCGCATCTAAAAGAACTGTACAACTAAAAAAACAGCAAATGACATAATTCGCTGAATAGATTCAACAGCAAACAGACAGGACAGAAGACAGTAAACAAGGACAGGAAAATCTAGTATCTGGTGCCACAGGGTTCTTAACAGAGGGAAACCTGTACAATATAGAAAAGAATTGTGAAGAAATAATAGCTAAAAATTAAGCTAACCGGTCCCAAGAATATGCTATTTAAAACTCATTTGTGTAGAATTAAAATGATGAGAAGTGTCATGTAAACACTCATCGAAAGAAAGGTGGATGACAGTATTAACACCAAAGAGAACTTGGGAAAGCCAGCAATGATGATTTTGCCTACTATGAAGAGCCAGCGCACAAGTGACAGGACAGTCCTCAAGGTCTACGTGCCCATCACTGGGTTTCAGAATGCACTAGGCAAAAATCAAGAAATGGAAACATGAATTACACCTAGGAAATTCACTACTCTTCTTTCAATAGAAGTTGTTTTAGTTCAGAAAAATTATCAGGAAAGGTAAGTATTCAGCAAGTGTGTCGGGGGAGGGGGCGCCTTTCTACAGGGCGGTTCAGTAGGTCGGATCACACCTGGGACGGACGGGCTGTGTCCGGCCTGGGCCACGGGTGAGCCAGCCACAGGGGATGGACGCGTGCTTCTCGCTGGCTGGCCACAGCCCGCCTACATACACTGATCATTTCAGTGTAAACATCCAAGTGGCCCTTGGTAAAGAAAAGGGATTCCCCACCTTGTTAGGCCCTACAACAAAACATATTAAAAAAAAAACTGATCATACAAAGTACACGTGCTGACTGTGACAGGCTTAGAGGAGAACCGAGCGGTGGCAGGTACTAAACTAAGCAGAGTACAGTGCTATGGAAAAGCAGCGGTTTTGGCCACATTCTCATTCTGCTGCTGTGAACTGAAATCGGCAGCAAGGTGTCAACACGCGCAAGATGCTACAATTACTTGGCAGAAGTAAAGTTAATTTGCTTTGCGCTTCAAATAAGATGTACTGGAAGCCTTAGTCCACGCGGGAACACATGCAACAGCAGCTCCTTACCATAGTCAGCCCGGGCTGCATTCCTGCACGGATGGCCTCTATCTGTGTGTGAGTGAACTGAATGGTATTGCTGTCAAGCAACAGTAAAAAAAAGGCTGGTTAGAGGTACACGCGACAAAGGACATTTCGTACAAGAGGGCAATGACCAGAGGTGGAAAGATTTGTTCCAAATTTGCACCTACTTGCCCAAGCTCCTTGGTAAAGGGATGACTGCCCCCTCCCCTGCCCCACGTTAAGGGCAACAAAACAAAGTGTATGGAAAGACTGGTCTCTGGTAGTGCACTTAGTTCAGACCGCATGTGGCCAACAGAGGCTCTGGTTCCGAACACAAAGCAGAAACTACAGCAGGTGAACACGGCTGTCTTGCTTTCATGGTACCAGGCCTAAACCGCCTCAACGACTTGGCTGACTGAAAGAATAGAAGGCAAGATGGTCTAGCCTTTACAACAGTACCCCAAGGTTTTAATAGAACCTGGAAAACGTAAAGCTACCTACTCGCAACAGTGAGCATGTAAGCCAGTCAAGTTACCGTTTGGGCTGGTTGTAAGGGTACGGGCCCCGGTTAGGGATGACGTGAGGCTCCACAATCAGAGTTTTTGCTTCCTCAGTGTCTTCGTTGTCCCCATTAGAATCTTTCCTTTTCTTCCCTTTTCCACTTCGTACCGGGAACGTTATCCTGTGACAAGAGCAAGACCTTTGTGCACGGCCCAGCATACACCGTCCAGTGCACACTGTGTAGAGTGTCAGACTGCTAGAACCACACTGTGCTCACTATGAGTACACAAGCCCAGAACCACAGAGCAGGTGCGCAAGGGTTCAAGTGGGGTAAGAGTTGTCTCCCACGATGTCTCGCGCTCAGCACCGTTGGGTTCATGTTTTCACTCTTCCAGGAAAGAGACTTGGCGGGGCAGGTGGCAGGGAGGCTGTGGGTTTTGCTGCGTGCGGAGGCCTCGCTGTGGCTCCTGGGGACCTCAAGGGTCAAGGCCAGCTGCGGAGGCCTCGCTGTGGCTCCTGGGGACCTCAAGGGTCAAGGCCAGCTGCGGAGGCCTCGCTGTGGCTTCTGGGGACCTCAAGGGTCAAGGCCAGCTGCGGGGCCTGATTCGGAGGCAGCACTCCACGGGTAGCCAAGAGACTTCACACAACTTTCCAAAACAAGCCAGACCATGTATACTTTTCTAGTCCTCCTTTCCACTCTTCAAAGAGGAGTCCAACCTAAGAGGCTCAGGGAGGAGGCTCCAGCATGAAGGCAGCTCCGCCAGGGTGGAGGGGGAGAGGGATGGGGAAAATGCACTGCCCATGTCGGGAGGGCCTGGCGACGCGTGTGCAGGAGTGGAGACCAGACCACGCCTGTGGCAGGCGTGAGGAGGGTCACAAATATTGGGTGAAGACAATGCTGCGCTTTCACAATAGGGAGACTAGAACAGTGACTGTCACCAAAAGGATTTGCGGTGTGGAGCAAGTCTAGGCCTGGCGCTACAAAGGTGTTTTGGTTAAGGAGAAAAGCCCTGGGCTCCCATGCAGTCCCGAGCGCGCCAGCACCCAGAGCCTCAGCAACTTCATGCCGTTTCTACTCCAGCTGTAAAGCCAAAGTTCACCTACTGTCAGACGAACCTGTGTTTGGGATCTATAGCTTAGCTAACATGTTCACTCAGATACGGGGAGGGGGCTGGAGACCTGTGGACGGGGCATTTCTCACTCAGCTGGTGAAGTCTGCCGACATTCCACAGGGTGAAGAACTCCAAAACCAAAACCATTTCTGGTCCTAAGCATTTCCTATGAAGGGCATTCCATCAGTATTTAGAAGCTATGAAAGCAATCGAGACTAAAAGGAATCTTTTCCTAAAACCAGAATAAAGTTCACCATCACATGCCTGTGTACCTTAAGATCTTGTGTAAGATGCAGTGGTGTTCTTACTGCAAATGCTGTGTGTGTGCACTTCTCTTCAGACACTATGTGTTTGCTGATCCTTCATAAACACACAGCTACTCCGACGCCCGGTGGTTCTGCGGGGAAGGCTGTGACACTGCACCCTCGGCGCAGCCCACGTGCTCAGGGGTGCGGGTGCAAACACTGACTTTACCTGAACGGGGGGATCTGCAGAGCGGGGTCGTCCACAGTCACTTTGACATTATGACCGGGAAAGCTGGCCTTCAAGTGTTCGATGGAGAGAAAAGTGTCGTTGAAGTCAAGGGTGGAGATCTGGTTGGGCATTTTTGAGTAGTGGGCGCTGCTCGGGTCCCCATAGCCCAGAATGATGTCGTGCAGCCAGTCAGGCACCACACAGTCGGTGTTCATCAGGTTCCGTATGGTCTCCAGCACCGCCTGTCAGCAAAGAGAAAAAAGTATGTCGGTGAGACCCCTCCAACACGGGTGCTGTGGAACGCAGAGCTGGCTGCGGGGACCACAGGCTCCCAGTGGCTCAGCCAGGAAGCTATTTTCTGCTGACAGGTGCTTGGCTGGACTGATACCAAATGCTGAGTTAACTCAGCAAGAACAGTTTATCCTGCGGGTTCATCTGGGCAGTGAGATGCAGGGTCTGCCCACCGGACTCCTACTGAGTAGGACGAAAGTCAGACTCATGTAAACCCAACAGAAAAGACTGTAAGAGCCATTCAAGAAGCTGCTGGGTGGGTCTTTCCGTCTACATCTCACAGTGCTTCAGTGTCAGTGTCTCCCTGGGTCAGAGGCCTGCACCACATGTCTACTAAAATCAGCTTGCTAAGAACAAGGAATACAACAGACAGTGAACAAAACGTTCAAAGTCGCTTCCAATAACTTCAGAATTAAAGATTTAGGACTATAGAAAGAAGTTACCAGAGTACTTAACATCTGCACCGTCAAAGAGACAGCGCAGTGGGACTGACCGACAGATTGGCATGTGCTGTCCCTGGTCGCCATGAACCTGCAGTCCTGCATTTACATCCACTCCCTCGCAAGAGCTCAAGATCCCTGACAGCACACACACCTCTTATACGCCTTCCAAAGGCTGAGCGCACTCAAGCCAGCACGGACGGACAGCAGATGCTGATCAGGTGTGTCAGCTACTATAAAACGTGAAACCAAGTTCTCTACCTTTCATTCGTCAATAAGTACTTCATTCTACATAACGCAGCTGCAAAAATGACCCAGGTTTGGGGACAAGGCAAGAGCAGGGTCCCCACTGAAGGGGACCCGGAGTGAGTGCAGCTGCCCTCCTTCCCCACCGGAGGGCAGTGCACACGCCGAGCTGCTGTGTGCAGCGGAGGCACAGACCAGGCCAAGGCTTGAGTGAAGTTTTCCAGGTGAGGAACGCCATGGGCAAGGTCTTGTTACTAAAGAACAACAAAAGAAAAGAAAGCTCATGTGGCTGCCCTGAAATGAGTCAGGGAGGAGAGAGCGTGACCAGGGAGGCCGGAGGCCGCGTCACGACAGGTCTAGGACTCTGTGAAGGGTCGAGGTGTTGCAGCGAGAAGAGCAAGCAGGAAGGAAGCTGGAGGCGGGAAGGTCTGAGGCCCAGGTGGCGGACATGAGGAGCCGAACCGAGCCCACCACACACACACCACACAGGGAGCCCAGCAGCCCACAGACCCCGCGCCCGAGCAGGAAGAGCACTCCTGTCTGAAACCAGCCAGCAGAAAGCAAGGCTGGAGGCCCACGGGTGAGCCCAGTACAGGCACCCCAAAATATACTCTTTAGAAGAACGCATAAGTAGGACCGCCTTCTTAGCAGGTCTCTTCTACCCGTGTGTCAGCCTCCCGGAGGGCCAGCCTTCACCTTGAAGTTGTTCTCCTTGGGTTTCCTCCTCATGATCACGTTGAACGTGTCGTACACATCCTCCGTTCCATTCTGGATTGTGCTGGTCATGTCCTGCTGGTACTGGTTGGGGTCTAAAAATACTCTAAATGTCCTGGACTCCCCTCGAAGATTGGGTCTGGGTTCTGGTCCTAGAGGGGTTTTGCAAGTGTGTCAGATGAATTTATAAAGTCAATGAACCGTGAGCAGGCTGCCCAGACCCGCTCCCCCCACAGCCTCCTGCAGATGCTTGCTGCTCTCGTGACACCTGCGGCGTGCCATCCCCACCACGACTCACTGTCCCAGAATGCAGCCACCCGGCACGCGCGCACACGCACACACGCATGAACCAAGACCTAACAAATGCTTTTCAGATGAAGCTGTAGCTTCGTGTAACAAGACAAGCAGCCCCGTCAGGCGCAGTGGCAACCAAGGGTCTGATCTCAAGATCAGGGCAGCAGAGGCCGACTTGAGTTCTTGTGGCCGAGCAGTGAGCGCCAGCAGGATGCAGTTATGTAATCATGTGTGTCGCCACCAAAGCAGTCAGGGCAATGGAAGGCCATCTCAGAGACTGGACCCCAGGGGCACACTGCTCCCAGACCAGGCTTCCTCACCCACAAAGGACCTGTCCTCAAACACCCTCGCTGTCACCACCCCGGCCTCGGCACACATGTCCCCGGGAAGGGGAGAGCTGTGTCCAGCTGATAGCCCCTTTCATGTCGAGCCAAAACAACTGAAGCCAAGGAAGTTCCAGTAACTGTCGACACCTAGAGGTTTCTAACAATTACATACAATATTATGTTTATATATATGCATATTTCTATCTTTTTTTAATAATTAGAACTATTTTTGAATAAAGTTGATTTTAAAAGATCATATCCTTTCCAATATTTAGCCTAAAGCCTTTTTAAAAGTATTGGGGGGCTCAGTAAAAACGGGGATTGGGATACAGCAAGTGACATGAAAAAAAAAAGAAAAAAAAGTACTGGGGGGTGGGGCGGGCTGGGAAGGTGGCTCAGTGGTAGAGCGCTTGCCTTGCATGCATGAGGCCCTGGGTTTGATTCCTCAGCACCACATAAGCAGAAAAAGCTGGAAGTGGCGCTGTGGATCAAGTGATCGAGCGCTAGCCTTGAGCTGAAGAGCTGAGGGACAGTGCCCAGGCCCAGAGTTCAGGCCCCACGACTGACAAAAATAAATAAACAGGGCACATGTCTGTGAATATGAGATTCAGTGTGATTATTACAAAATGCCTCCCACAGGAGTTTTGAATATTATTGCCTAGTTCTAAAACCATGGAAGTAGGTGGCTTACTATATTTTTCAGTCTTTAGAGTAGATTCTATCTGGAAAACCATAAGCAAACCAGACAAAGATACCTGTCCCTGCGCATACACTGAGAACACCTGTCCTGTGTGCACTACGCACACACAACTGTCCTGGGAGCACTGTGCAGACATTCCGAGAACCCGTCCTCTGTGCAGACACCCCGAGCACGCCTGTCCCTGGGCACCGCGCACAAGGAGCGCACAGACAGCTTACCGTCCTCGATGACACGCCCTTTGTCATCTAGCATGCCCTGGATCTCACAGCCGCGGACATAAACCAGGCCAACCTGCTCGATAAAAGGTCGCCTCCGGTCAAATTTGGTCCCATAAGGTTTTGTGGGACGCACGGTAATTAAAAAGCATACGTCATGTTTACGGAGACCTAATAAAATAAATAGAAGGGCATTTTCATTTGTTAGAATGTTGTTTTCAGTCCTTTATTAGAAAACTCTCAGCCTCCTCAAAGGACCAGAGATATCAAAACATTTAAAATGTAAGGGTGACCAGTGACTTTTTGCATTGTAGCACAATTACCGGTTTTCTTACCATCTTTAATCATATCTCAGAGCAATAATTAAAACGAAGGGCTATTAGATGTTAAAATTAGAAACTTTTATATCATGAACTCATTTCTGAACAAGGCCTCCGAGTCATGCTCCAGCCCCAAAGCTGGGTATTCATCACCATTCTTATTTTTAACACTCTTAATAACTAACCAAAAATATGGTTGGCCTATAATTCATCCGTGTCACACGCAGCCTGCCTCTAACGTCAGCGTAAGCTACCGCCCGGCGCCACTCGAGCCACAGCCGGGCCGCTCACTCCCGGTCTCACGTTGCCGGTGACGTCAGCTTTCGGAAAGCGGCTGCGCAGGTAAGTTTCAGTCAGCAAGGAGTCAACGTTTTTACGGGTGATTATCAAGACGCAGGAGACTGGCGCCAAAGCTCAAAGCCCCTCTCCATCAGGGGAAACGGCCTCTGCTGCTCCCGGTCCGTTCAGAGGCGGGGGAGAAGATGGCAGCTCCGGTGACAGCACACGCCACCTTCAGTTCTGACCCACGGGGTCCCCTGGAGCGCCTAGCCGTAAACGGCTCTGCCTGCTCATCTTGGCAAGCAGACCCACCAGGGACGTGAATGAACAAGGCGCGTGAGGGGCCGGCCGCATCAGAGCTGCCTCGGGAGTGTTCACAGAACACCGCTGCGAGGCCGTGGCGAGGGGAGACGCGCGGCGGCACGCCGGCCGCCGACACTGCCAAGCCTCAGTGGCAGCCGGCCGTGAGGCAGGAGCCACTGTCTGGCAGAGCTGAGGACGACGCCTCCCCAGGGCCGTCTCAGAGCTGCGCTTCCTCCTGCCCTCCTCGCAGTGAGCCTCGCTTCCTCCCGCCCTCCTCGCAGTGAGCCTCACGTACCCCTGCCCTCCTCGCAGTGAGCCTCGCTTCCCCCCGCCCTCCTCGCAGTGAGCCTCGCTTCCTCCGGCCCTCCTCGCAGTGAGCCTCGCTTCCTCCCGCCCTCCTCGCAGTGAGCCTCGCTTCCTCCCGCCCTCCTCGCCGCGCTTTCAGGAGCAAACCACATCCCACTGATTCACATGCGCCTTTCTGGGGGGACCTGGGTTTCAAGTACTCTTGAAGGGGTAAGAGGAGTCTTGCGAACTTGTTTTCAAAACTCACAGACATATTAAGATTCTGAAGTGTCTTGTACGATCCTGGTTAGTTTCACTTCTAATAGAAAAACCACCCTCTTTTTTGTTTCTGGACAGGATTTCCCTCTAGTCTGGGCCAGCTAGCCTCAAACTGGCTATGCACACTTGCAATCCCACGCTCTGCAAGAAGCTGAGATTATAGCTATGTGCAGCTACGCTTGGATTCCAGTGTCCTTGTTATAAACCCCTCAGCCAGCTGCTGACAGTCTGAAAGGCGTGGCGCTTACCTTCCCACTCGTCTTTGATGTGGTCTCGGACGTTGAGGTTGATGGTGACGTCTGCTCGGACCCGGGTTGGCCAGTTCTCACCGATATTGGGTTTGGCAACCTCGACGACCGTGAAAGCCACAATGGGCTGGGCCATTCGTGCCCAACCACCAAACACGACACCACCATACTCAGACTGCCTGGAAGCCAAAGAAAGGTGATTATGTAGCCAGCAGAGCACCCCGGCCATGCGTGGACGGGCGCACTTACGGGAGGACAGTGTTCCCTGATTGCGTGTGTGGGTGCCGGCACCCAGGCTTGACACAGGGCCTCACGCTCCACATGTGGCCGCTGCCTTCCTGAGGCCTGCGTTCCCTTATTTGTGCTTCAGATTCGCCCTCACCCGGGAAGCCTGAGAACACACCCATCGTTTGTAGTAATACCCAAAGTGAGCGCCAGCACTCAGACGCCAGCCTGCTGCCCAGCGAGGAGGCTGCCAGAACAGGCTCTGGAAGGTATGGCCTTGCAGAGTTAGGACACCACTCTCTGCAAGGATCCAGGCTGGGAACGTTTCCCGCTCCTTCCACATGCGTGCGGCAGCCAAGCGCTCCCCCCCGGAGGGCACTGCCCCGTGCCACGGCCCTGGTCCTCCCTCGCAAGTCTCCTTGCAGCGTGACACGCTCAGAGGTAGCTGGCTACCTCCTAGCAGCCACCCGCTCCCCCTGCTGCGTGGAGGCCTCCCGGCCTGGCCAGTGTGCCTGACAGCACAGGAGAACACACCACTGCCAGAATCCAGGCACACAAGAGTCCCTTCTCAAAGATGACATCAGGAATGTAATTTAAAGACTTTATTAGCATAAGTGAATGCCCTCCTCCCACCATAAATGGTGGCTAATAGTTCCTAAGAATTTCAGGTACCTTTGTTGTTACTAGTATTTAAATAAAGCATAATGAGATCCTATCTGTTGGTGTGCTAGTTAATAAACCCCGACGTTACCAAATGGGCCCTGAGTCCGAACACAGCAGCTCAGGTGCTCGAGAGGAAGTTTCTCAATCATTCCCATGGGGCCCGATGATGGGCAGCACCCCGGGCCTCGCGGGGAGATGGCCAGGCCTGCACACTCACTCAGCCACAAGCAAGTTAAAAATACTCTGTTGTTTTACAGTATTACTCAAAACAACTTTGCATAAGAATCTGTGTGTAGCACTGGGTATACGGAGCAGATGAACAGAGCGCCAGCGTGAGTGGACTCACCCTGTGCGCTACTGTGTGGCCACTGTCTACACCAGTGTGAGTGCGCCTACAAGCTAACGGGAACCAGCTTGACACAATCACCGTCCTAGGGCGTGCACATGCACTTCACACATAGAACGAAGCAGCGAATGACCCAGGTACTCAGTCACATCTAACAAATCTTCATAAAATCTCATAATGTCTGCACTGCGTTACATTATGTCCTAACAGAAACGAACCATCTCAAAGGAGGCTAGTAGGAAGGAATCAAATGGAAAGAGAAGAGTTGCTCAAATGAGTAGACCTTAACCTATGCCCCAGGAGACCCTGAAGACTGGCCCCTGAGCGCCCCCCCCACCAGGCCACTGCCACCGTGCCCCCCAGCCACGCACCCTGCTCCCCAGCCTCACCTCCTCCTGTGCAGACACAGAACATGCAGCTCCTCCCAGCAGCTACTCAGGAGGCGGAGACCCAAGGTCCCGATTCAAAGCCAGCAACGTCTGTGAAACTCATCTCCAAAAACTACCAAAAAGCTAGAAGTGGCTTAAGTGGTGGAGCACCAGCCTTGAGCAAAAATTAAAAAATAAAGAGCTCAGGGACAGTGCATCGGCCCTGAGTTCAAGCCCGAGGACGGACACACACACACACACAGAGAGAGAGAGAGAGAGAGAGAGAGAGAGAGATAACTAGTCCCTATACAGAGTCCTCTCTGTGTCAGTGTAGTATCTAGACTTACTAACCATGGCTTCATTCTGCTGACGCTGTCCTCGATGTCCTGACGAATTTCATATGTGGATTCTAAGCGGAAGAGGTTGAAATTCCTCAGGAGGTAGTCATGTAGAGTCAGAAACTGCAAATTCAACTTGGGAAGAGCAAGGCAACCTGAAGAGAAAAGCATCAGTAGGTGAGTGATTCTTCGTCAGTCATGGGGCTTTAGGGCCTGGGTGCTGTCCCGGACCGCTTTGGTTCAAGGCCAGAGCTCTACCACTTAAGAGCCATAGCGCCACTTCTAGTTTTATTTTGGTGGTTAATTGGAGATAAGTGTCTCATGGACTTTCCTCCCTGGGCTAGCTTCAAACTGTGATCCTCAGATCTCAGCCTCTTGAGTAGCTAGGATTACAGCCACTGATTTCTGGCTGAATTAGTCTTTTAATCAGTCATTCACCCTATGTATTAAAAACAGCACTCACGTGAATCTAACGTCTGAAAACAATTAATTTGATATCATCTTCATTTGCACACAGAAATTAAAATCAGGTTGACAAATACAGTCTATTAAAAACCCTTCATGATCCTTACCACCTTATCAAACCATAACCAGAACTCCGAGGCAAGAAGCACCAAGGACACACTTTCCACATCACTTATTTTAGTAAATTCTAACCTGTAACTGGACTCTTTAGATAGCAAATTATCATTTCAACAATTAAAATGTCACCATCTTGAAACCCTCAACTGAGTTAGCACATGTAAACACGAAGAACCAGCCATGGCTGGCATCTCAGACGTGTGCCTTCATGAAAGAAGCGAGCGCCCAGCCCACAGGGCTCCACCACGTCACGCTCCGCATGCGGGTGTCAGCCTGCGACAAGGCTGCACGGGGCGAGAATATCAGTCCAAGCTGGGCGGCGTGGCTCACGCTAGAACCCCAGGTACGCAGGAGGCTGAGATCCGAGGACTGTGGTTCAAAGCCAGCCCAGGCAGGAAAGTCTGTGAGACTCTTATCTCCTATTAACCACCAGGAAACTGGAACTGGAGCTGTGGCTCAAAGTAGTAGAAGACTACACTTGAACACAAAAGCTCAGGGATAGCACCCAGGCCCTGAGTTCAATCCCCACACTGGAAAAAAAAAAAAAAGAAAGAAATAATAGTCTGGAAAAGAGCAAATAAACCATCCAGCTTCTTAAACCGAAGAAAAAGAACAGGACTCACAACAGATGCTGTAAGGGCCTTTACAAATGAGCCTGACCCCGTCGGTCCCCAGCCCAGTGCTGGCTGCACCTTCTTTGCTCCACCTGAAAGCAAGTACCTGCACAGCATGGCCGTTCACATTCCCCTCCACGCACAGACCCCACACAGAGCCCTACACGGGGAAATACGTGAGCTACGGACTGACCATAGCCTGGAACACAACTGTGAGACGATTCTTCTCTTAAATAAACGATGTCTTTAAAATAGACTTCTAATAATAATCTACCATTCAGAATATTCCTGAAATGCGTCTGAAATATGCCTTCAAACGGTGCAGAATGCACGGTTTGTGACAGGGTCTCTCTCCTCTGAGGACGAACAAAAGTGTCTTTTACTGCGTCTCATCAAACAGGAGGTGAACAAATGCATAGTATCTTTGTAGATCACAGCTAAGGGACATCGCCAACTAGTGGTATTGTTTGCTTATTTATTTTTTTCAACTATGAGGGTTTGAACTCAAGGCCTTGTGCTGCTTTGGCTGGTCATTTTGGAGATGGAATCGTAGGGACTTTTCTGCCCAGGCTGGCTTTGAACCAAGACCCTCTAGATCTCCGCTTCCTGAGTGTCACCGGTGGCGTCCAGCTGGCAGTGTCTTTGTGGTGTCATTGTTTGACACCACAAAATCCAAGAGCTTCGAAATCCAACTTCAAAAGACAACTGCTACCCACTGTAGCCCATACGTGACACACGAAGGCCGCGCTTTCTTCCTCCCTGACCCGCAGCTGTGTTCTGCCACCGTGCTGTGTGGGGTGAGATGCATGCTGGGGCATGTGTTTGTGCTGGGACTTCCTCACTCTGAACGTGCTCCAGCTGCTGCAGGTGGACTTCAGCACATAGGACAGACGGGGGGAACGTTTTCAGGACCCTGGAGGTCTGAGCTTTCAGCCTACCTTCCCCAGAGTAGTACTCGGTCGGGACGATGTTCTCGTCCCACGCGATCCTCTCCGTTGGGTACAGGGGCATCCGGTTCAGCTGCTGAATCTGGGAGATCCGGCGCTCGTGGCGAGAGACCTGGGAGAGCAGTGGTTATGGGGAGAGGGCCTGATGAGCCAACCGCAGGAGGGCACGCCCGCGCACACCCACCAACTGCAGGAGGGCACGCCCACCAACCGCCCCGCAGGAGGGCACGCCCGCGCACACCCACCAACCGCAGGAGGGCACACCCACCAACCACAGGAGGGCACGCCCACCAACCGCAGGAGGGCATGCCCGCGCACACCCACCAACCGCAGGAGAGCACGCCCACCAACCGCAGGAGGGCAGGCCCGCGCACACCCACCAACCGCAGGAGGGCACACCCACCAACCGCAGGAGGACACGCCCGCACACACCCACCAACCGCAGGAGGGCACGCCCACCAACCACAGGAGGGCACGCCCACCAACCACAGGAGGGCATGCCCGCACACCCAACTGCAGGGCACGCACACACACCAACCGCAGGGCACACCCGCACACACCCAACCGCAGGAGGGCACGCCTGCACACACCCAACCACAGGAGGGCACGCCCGCGCACACCCACCAACCGCAGGAGAGCACACCCGCGCACACCCACCAACCGCAGGGCACGCCTGTGCACACCCACCAACCGCAGGAGGGCACGCCTGTGCACACCCACCAACCGCAGGAGGGCATGCCCGTGCACACCCACCAACCGCAGGAGGGCACGCCCGCACACCCAACTGCAGGCCACGCACACACACCAACCGCAGGGCACGCCCGCGCACACCCACCAACTGCAGGAGGGCACGCCCGCGCACACCCACCAACCGCAGGAGGGCACGCCTGTGCACACCCACCAACCGCAGGAGGGCACACCCGTGCACACCCACCAACCGCAGGAGGGCACGCCCACCAACCGCAGGAGGGCACACTCAGCGGAGGCGTCAAAGCCACGCCCCCCCCCCCCCCCGCATCACAACCAATAGCAGAAAACAAAAACAGGTTGCTTGGGGGAGGCAAAGGAGCAGACGGGAATGAGGGAGGCGTGGGAAACGCCATCTCTGCATTCAGCGAGCACTGTGCAACACTGGACTACGGAGCTTGTGGGTGGGATGGGAAGGGACAATGAGGGGTGACGTCGTTCCAGAAGCCTTGCACTCATGACGTTACAGAACAGTAACTCCTTTGTACAACTCCTCAATGATAACAACAGAAAAGGAAAAGAGCTATGAAGAAAGTGAGCAGCATGCGTGTCTCATCCGCAGGGGAGTGCGGCCTGCAGTCAGAGGGGCACCTCGGGGAGAACGTGTTAGCTGTTTTGGGAGGGAAGCCGCCCAGCTCCTCCTGGCAGCGGAGCGCAAGCAGCTGCGCCTTCCAGGACCGGGCGCCCGCCCCAGCAGTGCGGGTCAAGTGGCACTCACCTCTCAGGTTTCTCATAAAGCACGGGATGGCATGTTGTGAAACACTGTCAACACACCCTAGAGACCTCAGGAACGCTAGTGAGTGCTACCAAAGAGGCCGGGCGCTGGTGGCTCACACCTGTCATCCCAGCTACTTAGGAGGCTGAGATCTGAGGATCACGGTTCAAAGCCAGCCCAGGCAGGAAAGTCTGTGAAACTTTTATCTCCAGTAAACCACCAGAAAATCGGAAGTGGCGCTGTGGCACAAGTGGTAGAGCACTAGCCTTGAGCTGAAGAGCTGAGGGACAGCACTCAGGCCCAGAGTTCAAGCCCAACCAAGTACCACCACCACCATTGACAACAACAACAACAAAAATGAAGACTACAGGCAGAGTCCAAGTTACTTTTCATTGTTGCACTAGCTTTTCGGGAGGGGGTGGATGGTGGCACAGGGGACCGAGGAATGGAGGAAGGGTAAGCAAACGAATGCATGAATGCAACCTCCTCCTTACAAATGACAGGAGCAGTCCCCAGTCTCCTCGCAGGACTCTCAGTGTTGATTTACGTAGAATGGAAACACTGGCTCTGTACTCACCAGCAATTCCAGAAGAAATTCTTTATCAAAGGTGGTGTCTTCGTCCTTAGGAAGGGTTGGCAACAAGCAGAGGTATGATGCCACCTGGTGGAGGGTGTTGGAACTGCAGGACGAAGAACATTCACTTCAACAAGCATCTCTACAGATGGTTGTCAGCAAGTAAGTACAATGCTACAGCAGGGCCGGGGAAGGTCCAGCCCCGCCAGGGGCTTTCGCTTGGATGTGGGCTCCACAGCACTCCTGCAGGCTCTGGCGGGCCCTCCCCCCCATCAGGACTGCGAGCATGGCTTCCCTCCCCCTCCCCCTCTGGCACAGCAACCTCCACCCCCGAGAAAGCCTGGGCCTGCTCGCTTTTAAATCCGGACTTTCAATACCCATTTCTTAAAAAGTGTGTGTGCTAAATGCACACAATGCTTCAAAGAGTAACTCTTTGCTTTGAGAAAGAATGACTTTTACAAAATAGGAATGGAGAAAGACTAAGATCCAAGCCTCTGTCTGGAGCTGAGCACGGGAAAGCTGCGCTCAGCAGCAAGCCGCGCCACTCCACTGCTAGGCCTCCCGGCCCCTCTCCCGAGCCCCCTCCGCCACCCGGCCCTTCTCCCGAGCCCCCTCCGCCACCCGGCCCTTCTCCCGAGCCCCCTCCGCCACCCGGCCCTGGACGCAGCTCTTCTGTCCTCAGCTGCGTGCTGGGCCTGGGGCTTGCACTCAGGGCCTCGGTTCTGTCCTGGAGCTTCTTCACTTGAGCCATAGCTCCACTTGCCAGGTTTTTATAGTTCTTTTTAGTTAAGTCTCACGGCCTTTCCCATCTAGGTTGGCTTCCAACTGTGATCCTCAGCTTCAGCCTCCCAAGTAGCTAGGATTACAGGTGTGAGCCACAGCACACAGTGTAGTTTTACAAGGTTTTGTGCAAATACTAACTCTCATTTTCCCTGGGTACATCTTTGCTCAATTCTCCCACTTATTTGAGTCAGTTTTGCTTTGTAGCACAAACTGGCCTTGAACTTGCTCTGTACTTCATGCTGTTCCAAATTTACAGTCCTCCAGGCCCTCTGAATGCCGGGACCACCGGTGTGCACCCCGTGCTGTCCGTCATTAAGTGGGAGATGTGAGCACACACAGTACCTGTTTCAACGTCTCCCCCAGCAGTGAGGATGTTCTCAGCAAGCCTTCGCACGGTTCTAGTCCCATGTAGTAGCTGTCTTAGGACTGAAACATGCGTGTCTCTAATGGCCGAGGATGCTGAGCACCACTGCGACACGTCCGCCTTGCGCTGCCTCCCTGGTGAAGGGCTGCTTTCTATCTTTGATGTCACCTCAGTGCAAGGTACTTTCTCAGCACTGAGGCTGAAACCCTGAATGGCCCGTGCTGCCTGCAGACACGGTTAGTCCATGTTTTCTCCTAGTTTGTCCTAACTCTCATCTCTTAACGGTGTGTTTTCTTCATTATGCTTTGGTGTCCATGGATTCTTGGTACAATTACCACAACAAAGGCTTGGGGGCTGACATCTAAGTTCACCATTAGTTCCAAGTTCATTTGTGTGTAGGATACAAATTACAAGTCAAGATTCACACTTTGCATATGCCGGGCTCCTTACAATTCGATAACCAGAATATATAGTTACCTTAATAGTCAAAGAAAATAAGTGATGGACTGAAATATCGGAAAGAATGGTAACAGGAAAGTTAGAAGGCGCCGCAACGGCCAGGATGACATACACACAGACTCCAGTACAGGACACACTACACAACATAACACGCATGTGCACAGGACATGGACACGGATGGACAGACACACACACGTGACTCTGGTAGGTACAGGACACACTACACAACATAACATGCATGCGTACAGGACACGGACACGCGGACACACACGACTCTGGTAGGTACAGGACACATCACAGTACACAAACACATTCATATACAGACTCACTACACAACACACACACGACTCCGGTACAGGACACACAGCGACACCCTAGTACTAGATCCCTGGGAGTTGGACTCGACCTGTCTGGGAGCAGCGGGCAGCACGCGCGTTATGGAGCCACACAGTGCGTGCACAGGCGTTCACCTGCGTAAACACGCGGTACCCAGCACGGTGCGTGCACAGGCGTTCACCAGCGTGAACACGCAGTACCCAGCACGGTGCGTGCACATGCGGTACCCAGCACAGTGCATGCACAGGCATTCACTTGTGTGAACATGTGGTACACAGCACGGTGCGTGCACAGGCATTCACCTGCGTGAACACACGGTACCTAGCACAGTGCGTGCACAGGCGTTCACTTGTGTGAACATGTGGTACCCAGCACAGTGTGTGCACAGGCGGTACCCAGCACAGTGCGTGCGCAGGCGTTCACCTGCGTGAACATGTACCCAGCACGGTGCGTGCACAGGCGTTCACCTGCGTGCACAGGCGGTACCCAGCACGGTGCGTGCACAGGCGGTACCCAGCATGGTGCGTGCACAGGCGTTCACCTGCGTGAACATGTACCCAGCACGGTGCGTGCACAGGCGGTACCCAGCACGGTGCGTGCACAGGCGTTCACCTGCGTGAACATGCGGTACCCAGACCGGCGCGGGCACAGGCAAGGCTGCAGCGGGGATCTTGGAAACTCTACTCCCCACAGAATGAAAGAGCGGGCTGCCGCGGGGAGGCGGCTCCCAGTGTGAGCGGAGGTGCAGCCCACGTTACACATGGAAGGCTCACTCAAGGCCATCCCACACGGCCGTACCTCAGGGGGCTGAAGAGCCGGACCAAGGACTCGCGCGTGTCCACTTCTGCCACGTTGGAGAGGGCGAAGTCGTAGAGCTCCGGGAAGTGTGCAAAGGCGGCTCTCTGGGGAGAAGGGCAGCGTGGGCAGTCAAGCCCCTGGCCAGCCGGCCCCGGGAGGCCCACAGCACATGGCACGCGTGTCCTATCTCACGTGCCTCCTCCGTGAGCCTGGCCCGAGGACCCCCGGGAAAGCCAAACAGCCAGCGCGGACCCCACGGACGCGGGGAGGAAAGCAGCACTCTACCTGCAGGGAAGTGATTCGGTCGTAGTGAATGGTGGTCATCTCGTTCTCAGTAAGCGCATTTCCCGTCTGGTCATTAATCTCAAACCCGGTGTAGAACTTAAGCATGTCTAAAAGCTGAAAGGATACGTGCCAGTGAACAACTGTGAACTTAGGACCTAGTTATTAAGTGCTGACCAGGCGCTGGTGCGCACGCCTGCCATCCTAGCTACTCAGGAGGCTGGGATCTGAGGACCACAGTTCAAAGTCAGGCAGGAAAGTCCATGAGACTCTCACCTCTAGGTAACCACTAGGAAACCTCAAGTGGCGCTGTGGCTCCAAGTAGTAAAGTGCTAGGCTTGAGCAAAAAGAGCTTAGGGAGTGGCCAGGCCCCGAGTTCAAGCTGCATGACTAGGGGGAAAAAAGTGCTAAAAAATGTTTGCAATGTAACACCGTACATTTTTGAGAGATTTCAGAACAAACCAGAACAGGTCCAACTCTTCTAAAATGAGGGATGTGTCTCCCTTTCCCCCTCGTGGTACTGGGGACTCGACTCAGGGCCTGTGCCTGCTCAGAGCCCTGTCTCCAGCTTTCAGTGCAGGGCTGCACCCGCTACTTCTGCTCCCCTGACTCTGGGCGACACGCATGCACCTCGGCGCCTCGTTAGTGCCTGGGCAGATCTAGCTGGATGACAGGCCTGAGCCACCACACCAAGACAGGAGCCTGACCACCGAGGGCTCAGTCCACTGAGCACACGCGGTCCACACCGATGCTCGGTCCACTCTGCACACACGGTCCACACCGAGTGCTCAGTCTACTCTGCACACACGGTCCACACCGATGCTCAGTCCACTCTGCACACACGGTCCACACCGAGTGCTCAGTCTACTCTGCACACACGGTCCACACTGAGTGCTCAGTCCACTCTGCACACACGGTCCACACCGAGTGCTCAGTCCACTCTGCACACACGGTCCACACCGAGTGCTCAGTCTACTCTGCACACACGGTCCACACCGATGCTCAGTCTACTCTGCACACACGGTCCACACCGATGCTCAGTCTACTCTGCACACACAGTCCACACCGAGTGCTCAGTCTACTCTGCACACACGGTCCACACTGAGTGCTCAGTCCACTGCGTACACACGGTCCACACCGATACTCAGTCTACTCTGCACACGTGGTCCACACCGAGGGCTCAGTCCACTCTGCACACACGGTCCATACCGATGCTCAGTCTACTCTGCACACACGGTCCACACCGAGTGCTCAGTCCACTGTGCACACACGGTCCACACCGAGTGCTCAGTCTACTCTGCACACACGGTCCACACCGATGCTCAGTCTACTCTGCACACACGGTCCACACCGAGTGCTCAGTCTACTCTGCACACACGGTCCACACCGATGCTCAGTCCACTG